TGTATTTCTCAATTATTTTAAGCTACATGGGTCAGATTTGAAGAAAAAATACACCAAAATGTGGCGCATCAAAAATTCTATCGATATCAGCTTTGAGAAACGTTTTTGGATCCATCCTTGACTCTTTAATCAAAAAAGTTTGAAACACGAAATTTTTGCAGAATTGAGCCTCTTTTCAAGAACTATCAGTTTGCAAAAATATCAGCCATCATCTGCAGAAATTATGCATGAACTGAATTCTTTTCGCGTTATTTGGTCGAAATATATCTAATCGTAGAATTTTAGCAGAAAAAAATATATTTAAAAAATATTTTTTATCGTTGTAAAACGGTCAAGTAGTGAGAACTACCAAATGACTCAGTCTCTTCCAGAAAAAGCTATTTATTGATATAAAAACTAAGAGTAGATTTAACTTCCACTACATCATTAGAACGAGCAATATTTTTACTAGAAAAATCATCGTTGAACGTGTTTTCTCACCCCTCTTCTAATATAAAAAAAGCTAACAGAAAATAGAAAATGATGTTGCTCGATGGTGAAGTTGCAAGAACTTTTTTAGAGGTGTTAGCTTTTTGGCTTTTCCTCCGTCTCAGATTCATTCTGGAAAAACATGTCTCATACACAATTTGTAGTTGAGACTTTGCTCTTTTTAACAAAAAAAATTTGATTGATTCCAAAGTTGGTAATATAGTCTAACAGGGTTTGACATTTGTGCAAAGACTTTTGCATCGCTCATTATTAAAAACGCGTATCAGTTTTTTTAACATATATTGTTTTTATTGTGCCTATGAAACGAGATTGACAATGATAAAAACGTACGTCAATTAAAACAGAGCAGCATACATATTCTATAACTGCTATTAACATGTTTTCAAATAACATCATTTATTTACACAATATTAATAGGTCTCTTTCTGTTAGTCGGTGGAATAGACTTAAAAGTCTGTTGATCGAGAAAAACATTCTCACTAATCTGAATCACGACAGAATTATAATTCCAAGCCTTAAGATTTATTCGAAAAAAAGTGGAGAAATATTTCGAAAATTTTAACCGCTGCCGCACCGCTGCTGCTGTCATACTTTTAAAAATCCACCGCGCCGCTGCCGCTGCCGCGATGATTTCGCAAAAAATCCGCCGCTACCGCTGCCACTGCCGCCGTGGCGGTCGCGTCGCGGCAGCGCCGCCATGGACATCTCTGATATAGAGTACATGCTATAATAATTAATATATTTATGATAAGTACTTTGACTTTCTGATCGATTATTTGTTCTAGATGAAAAAAAAATTCTCATTTAAATACTATTAGTTCTTTTATTGTCGATTTAAAAATAAAAATGAGTCGTATTAAAGTATATACCGATCACAATACTCAAGCATATGTAGGAATACCATTATATTTTCAATTTAATTTTTACTATTTTATGCCATATGTTTTATTGGACGATCTCAAAAATATAGATCGAAATGCTGAAGGTTTATTTCTTTTGAATAAGCAAGGAGAAAGACTAACGTAAGCTATCTTATTGATTTTTTAAGCACCGGAATTTTTACAATAAATTAATTTCATAAACTTATTTGTTTGTATTTTATCTAGACATTCAAGACGTGGCGAATAGGGGTGTCAACTTTGCGTTCCGTTCCTAGGAACGGGGAACGCTACCCCGTTCCCACTCCTAGGAATGGGGAACGCTACCCCGTTCCCATTCCTAGGAACGGGGAACGCTACCCCGTTCCCATTCCTAGGAACGGGGAACGCTACCCCGTTCCCATTCCTGGGAACGGGGAACGCTACCCCGTTCCCATTCCTAGGAACGGGGAACGCTACCCCGTTCCTCAGCGTTCCGTTCCTAGAAACTAGAACGCAACATACGTTTCTTTCACTTTTAACAGAAATTTTACTAATTCACCGAAGGAAAGCCAATTTCATAAAAATTAGGGATGTTAACGTGCCCCGTTCCTCAGCATTCCGTTCCTAGGAACGGGGAACGCTGAACACTCAAACATAAAAAGAAAAGTGAATATGTTTAGAGACCTCGCCATGTTGAAATATAGCGTGGAAATGCGATTTTGACAAGCGTTCCCGTTCCTAGGAACGGAATGCTGAGGAACGGGGAACGCTGACACCCCTAGTGGTGAACGAATATATTTGATTCAATATGATGATATACCAATTGAAGATGGTTATTATATCTTGAATTGCTATTCAGGTAATATTTATTTGCTGATTGTCCTGAAGCACAGTATGAGAAAAAAATCAAAATCATCATTTGAATGTTTTCGCTATCATATACCGGGTGGGTCATAAGTCTAGTAACATGAAAGGTGTTCCGTAATAGCTGATGATCAATTATTAATGATATTTTTCATAATTTTTATTGATGTAAACAGGTGAAACTTTCAAAGATTAAAGGCCATGATTAGGTATATATGTGACAAAACTTTCAATTCTCTACATCAATAAAAAGTATGAAAAATATTATTAACAAATGATCATCAGCTATTACAGAACACTCTTTATGTTACCTGACTAATGGCCCACCGGGTATAATTGAGTTGGAGAGAACAACCGTCATTTGTTTAATACAAATCTAAAGTACCCAATGACTTCAATTGAATACTATCTTGTCCCACGTATGATCATTTGGTCGTTTGCATACACAAACTTGTTTTTCAAAAAATTTTATTTCTCTTATTATTTTTGTACATTAAATAATGAGCGATGCAAAAGTCTTTGCACAAATGTCAAACTCTGCTAGACCATATTGTCAACTGTTAAATCAATCAAATTTTTTTTTGTTTGAAAGAGCAATGTCTGAACTACAAATTTTGTGCCAGACATATTTTTCCAGAATGAATCTAAGAAGGAGGAAAAGCCCAAAACCAAACACCTCTAAATAAGTTCTTGCAACTTCACCATCGCGCAACATTACTTTTTATTTTCTGTTAATTTTTTTATATCAGAAGTGAAATGAAAGAACACATTTAATGATGATTTTTGTAGCATAAAGAGCACTCTTTCCATTGGTATATTGGAAGTTAAATTTATTGTTGGTCTTTATACTAAAATATAGCTTTTTCTGAAAAAGACTGCATAATTTGGTCGTTCCTATTACCCAACCGTTTTGCAACAATAAAAAAATACTTTTTGAATTGTTTTTTTCTGCTAAGTGTCTATAATCTTACACATTTCGAACAAATAACGCACAAAGAATTCAGTTCATGCGCGGTTTCTAGAGATTGTGGCCGATGTCCTTCCAAAGTGGTAGTTCTTGCAAAAGACACTATTTTACAAAAATTTCTGTTTCCAAATTATTTTGATTAAAAAGTCAAGAACAGATCTAAAAATTTTTACCAAAGCTGATATCGATAAAGCTTTTGATGGAGTACATCTGGCATATTTTTTTTTGTTAGAATTCGACCCATGTAGCTCAAAATAATTGAGACATAGAAACATTTCAAGTTGCAAAAATGTTGCAAGAACTTATTTATAGGTGTTTGGTTTTTGGCTTTTCCTCCTTAGATTCGTTCTGGAAAAATATGTCTGGCACAAAATTTGTAGTTCAGACATTGCTCTTTCTAACGAAAAAAAAATTTGATTGGTTTAACAGTTGACAACATGGTCTAACAGAGTTTGACATTTGTGCAGAGACTTTTGCATCGCTCATTATTTATAACTAATGTTTCATTCTCCTAGACAGGTCATCAAATGCAGGCAATTCAAGGCCGGACGAGTCGAAACTGGACGAGGTCGGATCGGATAGCTCTGGTATCAGCAACATTCGGGATCATGTCGTTCAGTTGAGCAGTAATAGCAACGTTTTAGTCAACTATAATGGTGAACAAGAAAAACATATAAATTGTGCGCGACGACGAACAGTATCAAAAAAATAAAATTTTTTTTTTCATATTTGAACATGAAATATTGAAAGAACTATAAACAAATATATATTCATGATATAGTCAGATATACGAATTTCTTCTTTCTTTGCATTTTTTGTCGATGATTTTAGGGTGTAGATGTGCATGTAAACATCCTCTGTAGCCTCACTCACATACCTATATCCCAGTGATGGAATAGGACCAAAATTATCTCATTCAAAATCTTATTTAGATAAATATCCAGATGCTAAAATACTAATAATAACAGGTTCTCGATTTGATCGATCTGTCAAAGAAATTTGATCAATGCTTGGTTTGTATTTTATTTTTATAATAAAGAAAAAAAACCGGGTTTGCTTTATTTAGGAATTGAAGAATCTTCTCGAATAATTCATTATAAAGGAAATATGAAAGTTGGTGCTCGTTTATTAATAAATCTTTGTCGTACACCTTCTATTAATCCTTATTTATGGCATAATTCACGTGAAATGTATTGATCTATATAAAAAATATCTGAATCATGAAATAATATAAATCGAAAAAATTTTATTTATATTCAACGTACATCAACAAATACAATGAATGAAGCTCGACTTATATTAAATGAACAACTATTTATTGATTTATTAAAAAAAATTCTTTTAAAAAAATTCTTTAAATTATATTCAATATAATCATTCAAAATATTCAAATCATATTAAATATCGTATTGAATTATTTTACAATGCTCGATATATAATTGGTGTTCATAGTGGAGTGTTATCAAATATGAATTGTGCTCAATAAAATATAATAATTATTGAATTAGTGCCTTATAGATCAAGTAGAAATTCACTTTCAATGACTTGTTCAATGTTTAATCCTAATGATTTAAAAGCATGTGTTGTTATATATTATATATTCAATCTCAATTACTTAATAAAACTTATTCGATTTTACCTACTCTTGTTAATGACCAAGGAAATATGAATGTTGATTTAAATAGATTTAAAAATCTTCTTTCAATAAATTTAATTCTCTTTTTTGTTTTCTTAATCTCAATTATTATAAAAAAACAAATCTTCATTATATTTATTTTGATCAATTAAAATTTTGTTCTTTTGTTTTTGTTTAATAATAATTATCGTCGCTTATTTGTATGGTTAATAGGAGGCCGTTTTGCAGGTGCACTATCTGAATCAGATGATTTATCATAATCGGATGAACTTTCTTCTTCACTTGAGTCAGCTAAAAGAATAAAGAAAAATATTTTTTTTTCATTGAAAAAGTTAAACGAATTCTGTAAATAAAAAAATAACTTATTACTTGTTTCATCTAAATCTTTTTTATTATTTTTTGTATTTTGAGATGATGGTGATAGCTTATTAATAGTTAACGGTGATGGTTTATTAATAGTTGATGTTGCTGTTTTTCAAATAGTTTCACTTATTGGAGGTCGTGTTTGAGCTAAAATAATACTTGAACGTGGTCTTCCTTGTCTAACTGTTGGTATTGAACGTGTTGAAGTTTGTGTTGATGTTAATGTTCCTTTTATTGTTAGTGTTATATTTGAGGTGAGACCAGGCAAAGTTTTTGCTATTTTATCTAATTTATCTTTTCCTGCTTGTTTTTCTCCTTGTAATGCTTGATTTATATAAGATGATTTATCTTGCTCTTCTTCATGATCATGTTTTGAAACCGAAGATAAATCATATTTTGAATTTTTATTTAATAATCGACAACAACAAAATCCAAGACGTTCTCGAAATGCTGAAAATCCACTAACAATGGAGGAGTGTGTATTGTCAGTTGAATTGACTGACCATGTTCGGGTCAAATGATCACTTTCACCGAGAGACTAATGAATTTAAAATATGAGTGGCCATTGGCGTACCTAGAGCAAGTTATTTAAATTTCAAGGTATGTGAAATTTAGGTATAAAAATGAATCAGAAAAGATTTTCTCCACTATTATAAGGACAAAACATAGTGTTATTCGGGCCATATGAAAGAGAGTCCCTATAAATCCCATAATCGGCCCCAACAACATTATGTTTTGTCCTTACAACAGCGGAGAAAATCTTTTCTGATTCATTTTTATACCTAAATTTCACATACCTTGAAATTTAAATAACTTGCTCTAGGTACGCCAATGGCCACTCATATTTTAAATTCATTAGTCTCTCAGTGAAAGTGATCATTTGACCCGAACATGGTCAGTCAATTCAACTGACGGTACACACTCCTCCATTATTAGTAATTATCAACATTGTGAAGAAATTTCCTTCTCATCTGTTGGCAATTTTCGGTAGTTTTTTGGAAATTTTCAAATGTTTTTCTGAATAATAATCTAATATTTTATAGAAATTTATACTCATTTCGGAAAGAACCTGGTCAAAAATTATCAGGTTCTTTTCTCACTCTGGGAACATTATAAAATGAAAGTACTTTAATAATATACAACTGTCTTGATATTGGTTTATTAAGATCTCGTTCTTTTTCGTGGACAAAAACTTGAGGAATGTGAGAATTTGCTGTGTTCTCTCGAAGAAGAACAGACAACTAACCCAACCTAAGCTAATGCATAATATTTAAAGAACAGTTTTCAATAAAATTCAGTTGCATTTTTAACAGATTTATTAATTGCTGATCTCGTTGTACCTTAAGGGAATGTGAGATCTATGCTCCATCGTATCTAGATAAATGCATTGTGAAGCGAAGATCATCTGCTTGATTTAAAATAAAAACTAGCAGATAATAAATCTGTTTAAAATCAAACTGAATTTTGTTGAAAACTATTGTTTAAATATAATGTATTAGCTTAACTTAGTTGTCTATTCTTCTTCCAGAGAAGACAGATCAAAACAGTTCTATATTAATAAAGTACTTTCATTTTATGTTTCCAAAGTGAGAAAAAACCTAATAATTTTTAACCAGTTCCTTTCCTTATCACATCCCTTTTACGTCTTAGAAGTTTATGAAATCGTTCGATTTAAGCGAAAAAAAAAGTTTTTTTTTGGAAATCTGAACACTGTTGCAGCTAAAATATAGAAAGTTACCGAATATTTCACAAATTCCTACCGTGCGAGAACGAAACCTCTTTCTTTTCGTTTGTCAACTTTGGAAGTGTCCTAGTCATTTCCTTTTCGCCTCTGCAGTTGATGACACAGGATTATTCGAGAAAGAAGTTCTTTCACTTAGAAATTTGAACACTGTTCATCATTTGAAAGAAAAGTTTACCATTACTGCCTTGCTAGAGGAAAATAATAGCCTTTATCTTAAGGAAAATATCACTAAATGCTTTCGTGTTTTTTGAAGAAAATCTTCTATTTTCTTTTTTCGGATTATTTTTAAGGGGAATATCCTGATAAACGTTCTGTGTTTTTTTTTTTGCATAACAACCCCTCATTTCTATAATATGAATTTCATAATGTAGATGAATGTTATTCCCTCTAAGTTTATCATCTCTTTAGTTTCATTCAAGAGAATTTCTTAGATAATTATGTATAAGTAGGGGCGGCGAGAGCGGAAGGGGAAGGTTGGAAGAGGATACCCATCCTCTCAGCTTTTGAAAAATTAAGGACAAATTTCTCTCATTCATGAAAAATTTCTGATGAACTTTTCTCCGTTTTCGGAAAAATATCTTAAGTTTTGTTCGATTCTGAAAAATGATATGGCTGCTTCTTTATTTTACGTTGGTGAAAATGAAAATATTTCACTTTTTCTTTCGTTTCGTATAAACTGATTGTAAACAAATTAACTAATTATAAGAAAAAATTTATCTATAGATATTTCAGGTGTCCTAATTTACAGTAAGATTCTTTCCAATAAATATATAACGTTAGTCATATGTCGTCGAGACAAGCTACATACACTTTCACCTGGTCAACATAACCTACATTCACACGCTACACACAAATGTCTCTCTAGCTTATCCTAGCGTGTTTGAACGAATAGAATTGCTTTACATTGTTTATTCTCATTTACCCCGAAATTGTTCGAGTTTAGCATCTGTTGAAAAAAAATGAATATTTCTTCATATGTAAGTTGAGTTGCAAGATATGTTTTGAAAATAGGTTGATTAGGAAAATCTAGAATATGTTCAACTCAGATAAATAAGATATTCTCTTCAAATCGAGTGATTATTGTTTTTTATCTTTATATACTCAAAACTAAACTATCAACCAAATAAAATCTTCATTTTAGACTAATAATAATAGAAATATTTTTAAAAAATTCTCTTTCATATTGGAACAATATTGTTTGATTTGGGTTCAGTTTAACTGAAGATAATCTTCTCAACGCAAAAAAAAATCAAAAACCCTTATTAGTTTTTCGATGAGAAAGTTGATTTTTTTCAGTTAGTTATTTCCTGCTTTAAATTAAATTCTCTTATGAAAATATAAATAAAAAAATTTTATTAGTTATATTATAAAAAAAAAACGTTGAATAAAAAAATATATTGAACCCAAATGATTAACTATCAGTCGACTCACCAATTCATTTTTACAATAAGAAAGTAACAAAACAATTCTTCTGTCTCTTTCTGATATAGAATACTTATCTTTAATAGATCTCTTTCAAACAAATATAATAGAAAAAAAAACATTTGTGTTTATTCAGTTCCACAAAACTCAACTTATCATTAGAAATATCTCATCCTACCAATCAACCTATAGTTTGAAGAGTTTTACCTTATGGAATTTTGGAAAGATGAATAGATAACAAAAGCTTGTTCTAATGATAAAAAATAAAATTTTTCCAACATCGACTATTTTACTATTTTTTAAGATTAAAATTCTTATTTGATTTAAGTTTGATGTCAACAATAACTGAGAAACGAATCATAATATATCAATCAATATTGTTGATAATTTACTTGTATAAAATATAGATAATTATCTACAACTGTAACAAACTTCTAAGAGAATAAAAAGAAAAAGAAAAATATTTTTGAAATAGATTATCAAATCTTTCAGTTTTAGTAGAATTCCGAGCTTCATTATATGTTTTCAAAAATAAAATGAGAAAGACATTTTATTATAAAGATCCACCAGATAAATAAGCAAGGTGAATTGTTTCGATATGTCTAAGCTTAATTTGAGAAAATCTAGATCTTCTAACTATTGATAAGATCAAAGAGAAGGTGTTTATACTATTTTGACATGATTTTATCCTAGAAAATATTTTGAACAACGCAAAACATCGAACAGTTATATATAATTAACTTATTTTGAGTAGGTTTCTCTCAAAATGAAATAGTGATACGATAATAAACTTATTTATTAAAATATGAAATAGAGATTGCTGGTCATTTGCATATTTGGTATGATGATGCAGTTTACAAATTGCCACTAAGACAACTCTCTTGAGATTTCTAAGATGAAATAACCTTGAACATGTTTCATGTCAATAAATAGGAATATTTTAGACTTGGAATTTTTAATGTCCAATTTCAATTGAAATTCTTGAATGATTATACCAATTTAATCGATGTTTGACAGTATGAATACATAATAAGGTCTCGCTTTCTCTTTCTCTCTCAATATTTTCTTTTCTCGCAATTTTAGGTTGTAGGCAACTTCAAAAATTTGAAAAAAGAATTTCATTTTTATTGACATTTTTCTCTATTAATGACATTTATATTATTTTTTCTGATTGACTCCTACCAATCTTATTTTTATTAAAAGATTTTCTCTACTCTTAAGATAAGTTATGGACAATATTGGGATAGATCTTTCTAAAGTTGACCGACTAGGATGAATATTGGTTATGTTTTAAGACAAGGTGACAATTCTTTTCTCGCCTTCTATCAATCACTGATTGATATAGTTACATCAATTCTACCACTCTTAGACCGTTAGGATTGTTTAAATATTTTAAGTTAAACGGAGATATTAAAGGTGTTAGTGACAATATTCTCTTTTCCTCTCGGTTAATTTTTCTGTTTCCTCAATTTTTTCTTGTGAATGATGAAAGGAAATGAAACCACTAAACTAAATATTGAACATATTTAGTATTAGAAAACTAATAATAGTTGTGAAGAAGAGTCATTTAAAGGAATATTGACCTTGTATTGTATTCTAATCTATATTTCCATGAATAAATCTTAAATATTTATAATATATAGAGCTAAAAATTCTCTACAAAAAAAAATTGAATTAGTTCGACTATTTACATTCCCAGCAAGTCCTATCTATCATAGAAATTTTTCTATTAAAAACAGTATCTTCGATTATCTTTCAAACATTGATAAACTTATTAGTTTATAGTAAAATAGTAAAAAGGATAATATTATTTATAAGTGCCTATCCTCGAGCAATATTCTTTTTTTTCCTAAGACGGAATATTTTCAAGATTTCATCTAGGAAGTTCATATCCTCATACCATTTCCAGCAAAAAAACCTAGTTAAACAAAACAAAAAACAATCTGAAGAGAGAGTGTGAATGATCTAGTCTATAGAGAATGTCTCATCTCTTTTTTATTGACTTCTATTAATAAATTTTGAACTCTAGTATATCTACGGTAATGCATCAATTATAGAATTATATTAAATATTGATAGGAAAGCGAATCTAGAAAATCCGATCTCATTTATAGATAATATAATTTTGTTCATTGACCTATTTAGACGAGGAAAACGAGAGAAAAACAAGTAGAGTATTAATTGTAATTTTTTTCATATAGTAGAATATATTTAAATGATATGAGATCAAGATCTAGTCTTAACTTTTACTTTTCGTAACTATTCTATAAAATAAAATCCGAAAAAATAGTTATCTCTCAAATAAAAAGTAAATAATAATGGTATCTATGGATGAATATGTTGTGCTACGATAGGTTTTTAAATAAAATAATATTACCTTTACCATAGAGTTAAACCTTCCTTCTCATCTTCGAACTGATAGAATCTTTAATCTCTTTTTCAATAACAAAATCTTATGTCAAAAAAGGTAAAACTATTCTATTATTTAGTTTATTTCCTTGTTTGACGAATCAACTGAAAAAAGTGATGTTCTTCTATGAGAAGGTGCATGAAAATGTTTCCAACATAAGTTATTTTCTAGCTATTTATCAAAACGATAAGATAAAATATTGATTTTTTCTTTATTGAAAAGATGTGCCATCGAATCGTCTAGAATAACTCGAAGAAAAAATTTCTTTTATCTTGTTCGGATCCCGTTTTATAAAGGTTTATAAAGGTAAAAGTTAAAGATGTGTCAAACATTTTTATTGTTATGATCATATATCGTTGTTTGGAGGTATTCACCTTAATAAATCGTATTAATTATAAATTTTCTATTCCATCATTTAAGAGATCCTACTGACAGTCAACTTCATTTTTATCTTGTTGAGACAGTGACGCGGTACCGATTTGTCAATATGGTCGTAGCAGGTATCTATCTACTATTTTCGGTTGAGTACAACTAATGAAAATGATCCGTCTACAACAAGAAAACGATGTCAATATGGTTCATTCTCATTCGGTCGAAACGGAGTTGTTTCCGTTATCGGGTAAAGACGTTTGGTTAGACGAATTAACCCGTTTGAGAGTATATAAGACATTGTTTTCAACGATCGGAATAATCGACTGTTAATATTTGAAATGATCAATATTTTATTGATAGAAGTGTTTATATTGATGGAATTGTTGCATTATAAATGTTAATTATATTTATTTTAAAAACTAATCATTATTTATAATATATTCATTTTTATTTAAAACAATAAAAAAGTTAAAAAAAAAGAAAAACGATCATTTCTAGAAAAAAAAAATTTTCATTCAATTATTGATAATAAAAGATAATTGTTATTCTCATTTAGTTATTTATCATATTAAATAATTAATTTTTAATAGATAATTTATCTTATTGATTAAATTTTATTTATTTATTATAGAAATGAAACTATAATATATTATATATTTATATTTAACTATAAATAATATATAAGATTTATTTACTAAATAAAACTAAAACAAAATCAATCTTTTTTTTTCAATAGAGATAACTGTTAAATTCGAATAAAATAAATAAACTAATAAGTAAAATAGTTGTTATTAGATCGTCTAGTTAAAATTCTTCCTATTTATAGTTGAATTAAATAAAACTGTTTTATGTCATTTAAAAGATGATAACAACTTCTTTTATTTATTCTTAATATAGACTTGTTAACAAACGATTATTTCGTTTAGTTAGAAAAGTTTTCAAAGAATTCTTTACGAAATAAATAAATAAATATTAAAAATAAATTATTTCAATAAATTTTCATAGTTTCCTATTGATTATTTTATTGATTATAAATAAATTGTTGATTTATTTAAATTGATTAGATTTTGTTTTGGTAAAAGTTAAAAATATATTAAAATGAAAATAATCAGTATAAGTATAAATTGATGTTTTTTTCTACTCTTTTATTGAGTCTAATGACTATCAATCGAGGGTAAAAGAATAAAAGCAAAAAAAGATAATTGAGTTTGTTTTGAAAGAAAGAATAAAAAGCTTATGATTACTAATAATGGTTAGATCATTCGAGAATATTCTTTTATATTCTAAATAATTCTATCAATAGAATTATTATTACGCGATATTCTAATTAGTCCAACATATAAACAATCTTCATTTTAACTATCAATCAGTAGATCGATGCTTTTATTTATCTATAAGATATTCAAAAACGATATATACAAATGAAATTTTAGTCGAGATTTATTTTTATATATAAAAGATTATTGTTCAAAATATTTTATCTTCTTCAAATATAATTCAACAATTAAATCAATGTCTAAATAAAGATAATATTATTGTTTATAATTGATAAAATTCTCAATTATATTATATATATTGATAATAATAAATAAATTTCTCAATAAAATCTCAATCTCAGATATGAGAATAGGAGAATAAGTAAATAAATTTATAAAAATGAGAAAATATTTTATATTTGTCTAACTAAAATAGGATTATTTGAGATGATAGTCAGAGTTAATCACTTTTAGAGATTGGATTTTCATGATATAAGATCGACAATCGAACAAATATTTAAAAAAAAAAATTAATTTTTTTGTTTTTAAAGTTGAAAACAAATGATAATTTATATAATAAAATCTAATGTTGATGTGAGTATAAATAGTGATTATAAATAATATGTCGAGTATAATTTGTATTCTATTAGTCTAATTATAAATCGAAGATGAATACTCTTTAGAAATAAATTATTAATTAAATATATTTATATTGATTATTTCGAAAATAGTTCTATTATTGATAATCAATATTTAACTAATAAATAGTTTTGATAAAAAAAAAAAGTGATATTTAAAATAATTAATAAAAAAAAAAAAAAAAGGTTCAATGTTAAATAAATGAGTTAACTAATTCAATAAATATATTTATTATTTCAATAATAAATAAAATCAATTCTCTCTCTAATTTTGTTATTATATCATTTTTCATAATTTTCTTTTTTAATTATCTCTTTATAAAGATAATAGATTTTTAATTTTTAAAAAATTCTCTCAAATATTTATTATTAACCAAAATAATATTTTAACCATAAATTCATCTCGGCGTTTTTTTTTTTCGTTGAGTTAATATATCTATTTTAAAAAATCTTCTATTGTTATAATTAAATATAATAAATCTTTTAAAATTAACAATAAAGGAAAAAACATAAGAAATTATTGAAAAATTAAAAAAAAAAATTTTTTCTTTTTTATTCTTGGCAACGAATATAATAGAAATTTGATTATTTAAAATGAATTTTTATTTCTTTCGATCAAAATAAAGATTCGAAATCTAAATGTTTTATTTCTATTCTGATAGATAAATATTATTTATTTTATATCTCTGATAATATATTAAATTCTAAATGAAATAGATATCATTTTAGAGTCAAATATTAAAATCTAGTCAACATTTTTAAAATAAAATTCTCTTAACTAAAATGAGCATCAACGTTAAGAGAACTTCTACAACTCTAAACAGACGACATATTCAATCTCGCTTTTTTTAAAATAATGTGCTTCTACTTGTTATGTTGATGAGAAAAAAAATTTTTTTTTTAACTGATTCTATTTTTAAAAAAACCTAACAAAATCGCGCTTGAATAAATCAGTTAATGTCAACATATTCTTACTGATATAAGAGAAGAAAAAGGACATTTTTTTTTTATATTTTCAATTCGTTTATTTCAACAAAAATCTAAACAAAATTTTTTAAAATCATTTTTTAATCAGAGATAAGCAAAAGGAGAAAGATTTTATCGAATTTTTTATTTAATAAATATTCTTTACTAAATTTAACTCGATTTTATTAACCAAAAAATGAATAAAACTCTCCAATTAACATATTCAAACGTTATTTATATAGATAAATTGAGATTTTTTATAAAATTATCAATAAGACTCTTTATAGAATTATTTGTTAACTTAATTTAACCATTTGGTTGAAACTATATTTAATATATATTATTAACAAATCAATTTTTATCTTATTTATTGACATATTTGTTAATTAATCACGTCTCCATTGATTATTTTAACAATAAATAAGATATTTTTTTACAAATCAATATATTAGATTTATTTATTAAATATCTTTTTAGAATAAAATATTTCAATTCTATTTATTCAATCTATTTAGAAAAAAAAAAACACGGAACATTTTTGTTTTTATTTTATTATATATTCGATAAATAATATTTAAATATAAAAGACTCTAAACATAAGTTAACAAATAAATCTATATATTGAATAAAATATCTTATTTTACTCTTCAATATTTCAATTGTGAGTCGATTAAATAAGAGCTTTATATATATAAGGATAGGTTATATATTTTAAAATAAATCGAGTTAAATATTGTCTTTATATATAATCGAAAAAGAATAAAGTAAAATAAGTGTAACTAGAAATAATAAAGATAAAGATTCTATGAATAGAATAATAATCGAAGAAAAAAAAAACACAAAGAAGATGTCACTCGATACTAAACTAATTAATAAAAAGTATTTCTAGTTTAGTAATAAATAAAAATAAAATAATGTTAACTTTAACCTATTTTCTTTTTTAATTTGTCGGCTTTTTTTTGTAGAAGACAATCTAGAATTTTTTTTGATGGATCAACTTTTGAAGGACGAATTATAAATGATCGAAGACGACGAACACAACTTAGAACTTCTGTTGTTTTCCATAATGTTTCACGACGATATCGATTATCTATAAGAGAATTTTATTTGAAATTTTTTATTTATTTATCTATAAATAAACTTACTTTCAATTTCAATATTGAAAACATTTTCAATAATGATAAATATAAGTATAAGATAAACCACTTGTTTATTCATTGATATAATATCAATACAATATCAGTATAACAACCAAACCGAATATATTATCTTTATCATAAAATACTTCTCAGCTAGAAATAAAACAAAGATAACAGATTATACATATATATATATATATATATGTCTCGAGATCGAGATAAATAAACATAAAGAATAAAACAATCTACTATAATGCATAAGTTATTCTTGGTTGTTCTTCTAACTGGTTTTATATTATCAAGTGAAGCTTTTCTAGGTGGAATAAGACGCACGTAAGATTTCGACTTATTTATAATAAAAAAAAATCTATAAATTAATTTAAAAAAAACCTTAGATGTCATTGTAAAGCTGTTTCCGATACGGTTCATTTTCCATTTCATAAATGGAAAATCTCAAGTTGTGCTTTCTGTACGTGTAGTAATCCGGCTATGGCTAATTGTGAACAAGCGTGTCAAGATATGGTTAAAAATTATGCTAATACAGGTTAACAACAGATCTTTTTTTTTTTTTTTTTAAATAATTTTTTTTCTTTTTTATTAAAATAGGTTGTGGAAAAACGGTTCGAGGTTCTAAAACTGTTTATAAATATGATGCAGGTGGTTGTGGAAAAGGTGTTGGAAAAGAAGTTTATAGTTGTGCTTAAAAAAAGGAAAATTTGTCAATGTTTCGTGTTTTTGTTTTAAAATAAACAAGCAATTGATTTGATTTAATTTGATATGTTTGAATGATTAATTGAAAAGGAAATAAGCTGAGAATATAAAAAAAAGCGAATGTTAATATATAAAATTTTTAGTATGTTTCATGACAAGATTGAGTTCCGTTGGTGTCATAAAACATTAACCAATTTGCAGAGATTCTATGATGAACAAAAAAAAAAAAAAAAAAAAAGAAAAATTTTTCACCATGCAATCCGATTTGGGAATGTCACGGAAGCAGAAAAATATTCAGCTTTTCTTTTTTTTTCTTTCTTTTTCTTTTTTCTTTTTTCTTTATCATTCATCAATCGAAACGACGAGAAATAACGATCGGCAACCGTTTCAACTTACGTTCAAATAGAAACAAACATTTTTTTATTCTTATTAACAGGTTAAATAACGATTGAAATTTTTTTTTTTTTTCTTATTAAAACGAACAATATTAAAAAAACATCTGTCTATTTCCGCTCTTGTTTTTTTTCCTGATAAAATTCAAATATAATGATAAAATCTTATGTAAAATGACGTAAACCTTGATATGTTGTTTTTTTGTAAAAGATTGTAACTCAATCTGTCATCTATCTTCTATAATCTTAGAGAGGCATAAGCATAACCTCTTTGATTTGTTTATTCGGTGTCATCACCTATCAACCATCATCATCTTATTATTCTTTTCTTTTTATTTAAACATATCAAAAGAAGAAAAAAAAGCAAACTAGACAGGATAAATGTCTTCTCTCATCTTCTTCCGTTTACTTCACTGACTAAATGAGTGACGACTCGTTTAATTGTTCATCTTCTCTTTCTTTTTTTTTTTTTTTTTTTTCTTTTTCTTTTTCTTCTGTCAGCTTTGAATTGGTGTTCTCTCATTCCCGTCATCATCATCATTCTCTTCGTTGAAAATACAATTAAACCCGAAATGACAAGAAACAACTTTGATGATGATTTTGGTGTGTTGTGCCCGACAAAAACTAGAAAAGAAACTCGTTTCTTGCTCCTGTTTAGTAATGAAAAACGAGATGATGATGACGAGTAAAACATTATAAATGAGTGAGTTTTGTTTGCTTGATTAGACTGTTCATGTTAGCCGATATATTCAATTAGAATGTCATTTTTGTTTATGCCCGACAGAGAGAAACGAATTGAATATATATATATAAAGGTGACATTTCCGATAAAAAAAAAAAAAGTCAGGTAAAGTAATAGAAAGACATTTATATAATAATATGTGTTTCTTTCTCATGTTTCATATTGGTATAACGTTATTGAAATAAGTTACATATGCTTTTCCATATTCTATTAGTGCGTGACAAACAAGTGCCGGAAGTCAGCTGTTGCTTATTCTTACATTGTTAATCGAATTATTCCGTTAGTTTTTTTTTGTTTTTTTTTCATATATATTGATGAAAACGATCTCTACCACCTCACATTTATCCCTCATAGAAATATAAAGAGGAAAAAGCAGAAACATGTTTTAGCCTGTGGAGTGAGACACATCAATTATAATATAGAGAAAGCGAGAATGATGGAAAAATAGGAGAAAAAAAGAAAAATAGATGCACACATCTAAGTATGGTTAAGTATTAATGGTTTGCTCAATGCGTTAACTGAGATGATCTTATCGAAGAAAATCCGAATGAGAAAAAAGTCGAATGACACTCTTGGGAATTTAATGAGTCTATTTTAGGTCTACTCCAATGTCGGAAAGATCATCAAGTGGATCAATAAAAACCAATCGAGATATTCAACAAATGAATCAATATGAACCAGTTAACAATGATTTTGTTTATAATAGAGATAATAATTTCACTCAGTTTAATGATAAATTTTATTTTATTGAAAATTCATTTAGAAATATAAATATCTATAGATCGAATAATTCAAATCGAAATAATATTTATCAAACAGGTTAGAAAATTTTTTCTTTTTTTTTTTTTTCTTTTATTTAATAAAAAGAATAAAAAAAAAAACTAATTAATAAAATATTTTATCGTCGTTTTTTTTATTTCTTCTTAAATAATCTTAGATAAAAATGTAAATAGTGAAAAGAAAAAGATGGAAACAATTAATAATGAATATAGTGAAAAAGAATCTAATAAGACAAGTTCGAACATATATGATCTATCATCATCATCAGTTAGACGATTAAATCGTAGATCATATTTATCTTCATTGATTCTTTTACCAGATTTATCAAATAAAGATAATTTATTTAAATATAATAAATCACTTAAATCTTATTCTTCTCTTAATAATTTGTCACAATTGAAAAATTCAAATATTAAAACTCGATATTATTCATTACCTTCATCACGATATGAACAAGATAAATCAAATCGTTTTGATTCAAATATTTCAAGTCATCAATCAATTGATATTATTAAAGATAATTATTCAAATGAATATTTATATGAAAGTAATTATTCGAATATATACAAATATAATCAACAATCACCAATAACAACAACAACAGCAAGAGCAAGAACGACAAGAATTAAATTAAGTTTACCAGTATTATCAACTGGATTAAATAATCGTCGTCGTTATAATAATAAAAGAGAAATAAATGATAGATCAGTTCAAGGAGAATTTACATTACCAACAGATCCTCCAATAACAGTTACAATTCAACCACAAAATATAATTAATGAAAATATTGAAAATCAACCATCATTACATGATGATCAAATCTATTCACCTGATCATATACATTATATAAATAAAAAACGAATTAGTATTGATCAATCATTAAAAGGTACATCAACAATAGTTAATTATTTTATGGATCTTTTAAAACCAAGTGATAATAAATTGGCTATGAAATTATTTGGAAGTCGAAAAGGTGTACTTAAAGAACGTTTAAGACAACAACGATCTGGTCATTGTATTATACATCCATGTTCCAATTTTCGGTATTCAAAAAAAAAAAAAACAAGAAAAAATCTTAATTGATTTATTGCATGTTTTATCAATAACGAATGATTGATTTTTTTTTTCGTTTTAGTTTTTATTGGGATTTAGTTATGTTGATTTTATTAATAACAAATGTTATTGTTTTACCAGTGGCAATTGCTTTTTTTAGTGAAGATATTAATTCAGCACGATGGATTACATTTAATGTTGTTTCGGATGCTTTTTTTCTTTTTGATATTGTTGTTAATTTTCGAACAGGTTTTTATTTTTATTTTATTTAAATATAATTTGTTTTTTTTTCTTTTATTTTTCTTAAAAGGTGTTTTAAGAAATGATTATATTGATGAAATTATTCTTGAACCACGTCTGATAGCACTGCATTATATTAAAACTTGGTTTATCGTTGATTTACTTAGTTCATTGCCAATTGATTATTTATTTTTATTTTTTGATACTGGTGATCATTCAGGTGGTTATACAATAGCTCGAACTGGTCGAGCTATTAAAGTTCTTCGACTTGTTAAATTACTTTCATTATTAAGATTACTTAGATTATCACGTCTTGTCAGATATATTCATCAATGGGAAGAGGTGCGTTTTATTCATATTATTAGATTAAATTAATTACATTTTCATACCATTTATATTTCATTATTTTTTTTTCGACTATGCCAAATATATTCAATCACGAATCGAAAGCAAATCGATCATAGATTTTTTTTTTCTTTTTTATATATGAAAATTGATCAATAATAGATTTTTTTTTTGGTTTAGTTTTTATCAATAGCAAGTATGGTTATGCGTATTCTTAACTTAATAGCATTAATTATATTATTGGCACATTGGAATGGATGTTTACAATTTATGGTTCCAATGTTTCAAAATTTTCCATCTGATTGTTGGGTTGCACTTAATGGTCTTCAAAATGCTCCATGGACAGAACAATATACAGTTGCTCTATTTAAAGCACTTTCACATATGTTATGTATTGGTTATGGAAGATATCCACCTCAATCTTATGTTGATATGTGGTTAACTATGCTTTCAATGGGTATAGTTTACTAATTTTTTTTCATTTTTTAAATTAACTTAATAAAAAAAACAAATTTATTATAATAAATAGTTATTGGAGCAATGTGTTATGCTGTTACAATTGGACATGTATCAGCACTTGTTCAAAGTTTTGATACATCAAGACGTTTATATAATGAAAAAGTCTTATTTATTATTTATTTTAAAATAAAAAAAAAAAAACAAATCTTTATTTAATTTAGTTTAAACAAGTTGAAGAATATATGGCATGGAGAAAATTACCTCGAGAAATGCGTAATAGAATATCTGATTTTTATGAACATCGTTATCAAGGAAAAATCTTTCATGAAGACACAATTTTAGCTGAACTTTCAGAAAGATTAAGATTGGTTTGTCCTTTTATTTATTTAAATAGAATTAAAATAAATGTTTTTGTGTTTTTATTTAAAAAGGATGTTATTAATTATAATTGTCGTTCTCTTGTATCATCAGTACCTTTTTTTGCAAATGCTGATCCAAATTTTGTTTCGGATGTTGTTACTAAATTACATTTTGAAGTATTTCAACCTGGTGATCAATTAATTAGTGAAGGAACTATTGGAAATAAAATGTATTTTATACAAGAAGGTGTTGTAGATATAATTAAATCAGATGGACAAGTTTTAACAACTTTATCTGATGGATCTTATTTTGGAGGTCAACTTTTTTTTTTATTTTAACTTTTATTAAAAATTTATTTTTTTTTTATTTAGAAATTTGTTTATTAACACGAGCTAAACGTGTAGCAAGTGTTCGTTGTGTAACATATTGTAATTTATATTCATTAGATTCAAGTCAATTTGAAAGAGTTCTTGAATCATATCCATTAATGAGAAGAACAATGGAATCAGTTGCTGCTGAAAGACTTAATAAATTAGGAAAAAATCCTTCAATTATATCAACACGATATGATTTAAAACGTGATGCAGCTGCTTTAAAAGATATGATTGATCGTGTAACACCTCAACCATCATCAGATGATTCTTCTCAAAGTGATTCATCATCAATATTATCAAATCAAAATAAAAAAATTGATTTTAAATCTTCATTATCACATTTACATGAAGAATTTAAAAAATCATTTATTAAAAAACGTTCAACTAGAAATAGAAGAAAAATTTCTCTTCAAGATAAAAAAATAAAAAATCTATCACGAAATTATTTATCTGCACCTAATTCGAATTCAATTGAAAATCAAATTAAAAAATCTCCGTCCACACCTTTTGAGACTCTACATTAAACATAACTATTTTCACTTTTTTTTTTTTGATCTCAATCATTTATTTATTTTTTTTTTTCTTTTAAATAAACAATATTCCATTTATTCATTTTATTTTATTTTTTATTTATTAAACAAATTCTTCTATATCAATCAATTTCAAATTTTTCTTACGATTGGTTAGAAAAACTGAAAGTCGACCTAAACAAGATTTGACTAATGGATTTTATTAGATTCTATCACTATCTTATATAGAAAAAGTTTGCCAATAGTTGATTATATTTTATTTGAGATAGGAGTTAGTTCGATCTAAATCTATCGTAAAAAAGATTTATTTTATTGAAAAATATTCTTTTAGATTTTATCCTATTATGTAAATATTTCGAAAAGGATAAGAGATAGAGAGTAGACCAATTTTTTACTGGTTATACAACTCTGATAAGTATATCTAAAGTAAAAATTTGTGCCAAAACAAACTAGCTTTTGACGACTTACTGGCGAAATTATTTTGAAAAGATCAATCTTGAATTTTTTTTTAAAAAACATAGATCGACATTTTCTCCTATAAAGTTAATATATTGAGAACGGTAGAAGGTAGACACCTGAAATTTTCATTACTTATAGAACTCTGAGAACTATATTTGGGATAAAAATTTGAGTAGAAAGGGATCAACCGTTCAAAGATTATTAACAAACAAACTTCGAAAAAGACGATCTAAAAAGTGAGTCAAAACGATACTCTTAAACAATTATCTCTCTTTTTCACTATAAACGAAACTCATTTAGAAAATATTTTTTTTTTATAATTTTATTTCTATTTTCATGATCTTTATTATTACGCACCTTCGTTTTCTTTCACCATTGACACAGATCGAGAAAACGTAAAGAGAAAGTCGATCTAGATGAAAATGGTAAAGTCTCGTCTAATCATCCATCTAGACTGTTTGGATATAGGAAACGAAGATAAATAAATAAATAAATCTAATCTATATACCATTTTATAGACCTTTTAAATGGCTAGAAAACGAACTATTCAATATATTTATTCTCCATTGTTTTATGGTAAAATAATCTCAATTCTCTGAGTAAATATCGATGAAAAAAAGTATTTATTGATAGTGTAAGAGTGATTACTCGGTGACTAAATGAGTTATGGTAGGTGAAATTTTCTATGGTAGTGAGAACGGTTCGAGATAAATAAGATA